CCTTCAGGGAGCGGGACGACCACTGGGTGGGTTCATCCAGGTGAAGAGAGGGGGTCCTGTTAATTTTTTTTGCTTTTTTCATGTTATGTCATTTTATCATAGATGTAAGATTAAATTAAGGCATCTTATTATAGTCTTGCCATTTGCTGTGTGTGTATTTATTTGATCCAAATTATTCCATGATACCCGAAGTTAATTTCTGGCAAGTTGTACTTTGTAACATTTAGGTGTATGCTAAATGAGTGAATGATAGAGATGGTAAAGTGTTTTACGTGATCCCAGTATCTGAAGTAGAAATTGGGAGATTAAAATTGTGACTTCTTACTTATTTCAGAGCTCATTGTCTATTGCAGCAAGAAGTGGAATAGGGCCGTTGTTTTCAACAGAGTAAGGACTGAGAGTGTTGCCGCGGTGGGTGGCATTGGCATCGTCGTGCTAATTTGCTTCGGAAATGGCCTTTATTCAGTGTCTGTGCACCGTCGTGTGATTCCAGAGCTCCTTCCCACTGTTCCCAGAGTGACCTGAGCCAGCCTGAATGCTTTGTTCTTGTCAGTAATAAATGAGAAACCTTTAAAGAACTGTTTGTTCTTTTGTGTAAGTAGTTTAAATTATTACTGAAGTAGATTTTATGCCTGAACCTAATCCTATGTCCAGGTAGTTTTAAAAAATGATAGTGAATAAAACTCAGGAGTTTAATATTTTCTTAATGTGTGTTTTTATTGTGTTTTTAAATCCTCACCTGAGGATATGTTTGTTGGTTTTTGGAGAAAGAAGAAGGGGAGGTGCGGGGATGGAGGGGAGAGGACAGAAACAGAGAAAAAGAGAAACATCCATTGTTGTCCCACTAACGTGCCCTCACTGGGAATTGGACCCGCAACGTTGGCATTTGGGAGTGACGGTCTAACCAACTGAGCTTCCCTAGCCAGGGCTTCAAGTTCAAGCTTCTTATTCCTTCTTCGTATGTTCCTTTTTATCCTCTCCTTTGCTAAAAGGTACCAAGTGAAGTGCTTGCATCTTTTCTGTACCCTTCTTTTGAAATTAAAAATACGTTTTGCTAAAAGGATGCTACTCCAGCTGGAAGGCTGGGAAAGGAAGGCTGGGAAGAATGGGACCCTTGAGGGGGAGCATGGGAATCTAAGCGGTGCGGTCTGACGGGCGTTAATGGCACAGACGCGGCTCGTTAATTCTGTCTGCTTGGCGGTCCCTTATTTATTTATGTATGTATTTAAATCGGAAGCTCTTTTTTAAAAAGATTTTTTTAAGTTTATGTATCTTTAGAGGGGAAGGGAATGAGAGAAGGAGAGAAACATCAATGTATGGTTACCTCTCGTGGGTCCCCTGCTGGGAACTGGCCTGCAACCCAGACATATGTCCTGACTGGGAATCGAACTGGTGACCTTTTGGTTCGTAGGCCAGCACTTAGTCCACTGAGCCACACCAGCCAGGTCTAGTTGGTGCTATTTTGGCAGATTAATTGGAATTCGTTAACAAAGAATTTTAATGGCACCTGAAAAATTACCTTAAGTGGCTTAATTTGAATCGCTTTAGGCAGGGTGTAAGCTAATATTAATGTGGAAATAATCTAAAAATAATCGCGAGCCTCATATTCCCGTTGAGGGTGATGAAGAGCCACCGTGGGACGCGGTGGTCCAGCAAGCCCCCGTTCACCACCTGCCGAGCACGGAGTGTGTGCAGAGCGCCCGAGCCGCCCCTGAGGCCCGTGCGACCCCCCGGCGGCCATGGCCTGACACGGTGCCCCTTACCGGAAACCCAGGCAGTGCGGGGGTCTGAGTGGGCGGAGGGGAGCACTGACAGGTGGCCCCCGACGACACTGCAGGTCTCCCTGTTCCTCCTGCTTCGGGGCCCTGGCTCTGACAGATCCTTGAGTTTGGCAAAATATTTGCTAGAGAAATAATTTTTAGGTAGTAAAGCTCTTGGAACAACAACTGAGTATTTCCGACGCAGGCAGAGGCAGATGCTAGCTAGCATGTGATAAGAAAGAGGGCGATAAATGGTCCCACTGCTCAAATCCCTGGCCGTTCTAAACTTCGAGGCAGTAGTTTTCACCCAGAGTTAAACACGGAGTTCCGATAGATGCCTCCTCGGACTCGGCAGGGCCTGCTGGGGAAGAGGGTATCAGCGCTGGGCCAGGCAGCAGCTCTGGTCATCCTCTCTGCACATTCGGTTGTCGTTTGCCTGGAAACAGAGACGGCAGCCTTTGCGAGGTGAATCTTCAGCATGTCTTTGCTACACACAGCCGCTGCTACAGGACAGCAGGGGCCGCTGCTGCAGCCTGCAGGGCAGCCAGGGGAGGCTTTGGAAAGCGCACTCCCTCCCTGCCAGCCCCCGCTGCTGCCTGCGCGGAGTTGGCTCTGTGCAGGCTTGTTCCAAGCTGGCTGTTCCCGGGATGGCAGGGGTTGCCGTAGACGGTGTTGCCTATTTGCATTATTTACTAGTAAATGAACTCTCTAGCAAGGGGAAAACAGAGAATGTGCGTTTTTATGAGGGAGGACCCCCCAGAAGCAGAATTCTCCTGGAGGGCGTGCCCCTTGGAGCACAGGCTTCCCCCACTGGGGGACATCCTGGGATCCCATCAGTGCACCAGCTGGCGCTGTTGTGAGAGGCTCTGTGAATTCAGCTTCAGTGAATTTTTTTTGAAGACTCTTTCAACATGTTTGCCTACCTCATGATGGGTGAGTTATGAGGGCACCTGCCCACACCGCACTGAGCGTTCAGGAGCATTTGACCAAAAACAGCATGACCTCCATGCTGCACCCTCCCTATTCATCCCAGCTCACCCCAAGTGACTTTTTTTTTTGTTTCTCTGGATGAAAAAAGTCCTTAAAGGGAAATGTTTTGCTGATGTAGAAGAGGTGTAACAAAAAGCAGCAAAGGCACTAAAGGCATCAAAATCGAAGAGTTCAAAAACTGTTCTGAGCAGCGGGAAAAAGTCTTGCTGTGTGTATTGCCTCAAATGGAGAGCACTTTGAAGGTGACTGAAGTTTCAACATGTAAGAATAAGTACACAGTTTTTTACAAATTCTGTTTGGGGGGAGTCCCCCCTCATATGTTCTTGAACTTTGTGTTTTCTACCAAATTCTGTCTTCATTTCTTTAGTTCTCTGCCTCTGCTTAAAAATCAGTGCAGATCAGCTCACATTTTTCTTACATTTGCTTTGAGTCTTCTTACCTTAGGTGGGAAGTGATACACAGGAACACACATACGGAGAGCGCGAGGGGGCTGGAAAGTAGGGAACAGGAAGTGATTCAGAGGAGGATCGCATATGATAGGGATTAATATATCATGAGAGATATTAAAAGTGGCTCACACCCCAGATTTTTACTAGCATTACCTGGGGAACTTTTAAAAATTCGGGTGACTGAGTCCCACTCTGAGAAGATTGCTTTTCACTGATCTGTGTCAAGGACTGGCACGTATGTGTTTTTCTCCATAATCTCTATAGATCATTGTGTACGCAGCCAGGAAAGAAAACTGGTGGGTTATGTGTTTTCTGTTTAGCTCTAGAAAGCAGAACTGGTAGCGCTGGGGGAACAGGACGGACAGAAAAGCACGATGAAAACTGTCCTGGTAATTAGCACGGTCTCTGCATCAAAGTGTTCAAGTACACGTGCGTCAGCCTTTGTGAAGGCTGCTGTGGAGTGACTGCTTCGGATAAGGTGCAGGACATAGTCATTCCTTCAGTTTAGTTTTAAAAGGGAAGAGCGCTCTGTGCTTCTGCAGATTTGGCACGGCGCGTGCCAAGGTCAGTTGTGGGCATACTGAGTTTGAGATGTTTTGGGGACGTCCAGCGGGAGGTGTTGGTGACTCTGAGGCTTTGGAGCTCAAAGGAGAGACACGGCCAGGAGAACATCAGTGAGAAGGTGGTGGTGGGCGCTGCCCGCTCTTTGTCGTTGGTTTGCCCCGTAGCTCACAAACTACCGTGCGTTACTCACGGTGAGCAAGACAGGGTCGCTGCGTTCATGGAGCTTATTGTAGACAGGAAACGTAAAACAGAAGCATTTACAAAATTACCGGCTGCTCCATAAATGTCATCTCTGTCAGCCAGGCCGCTGCCTTCTAGAGCCCAGGGTTGTGACTGGATTGTAAATTCCTCAGAAAAGTTCTTTATAATATTGAGTTGGCCGAAAAGTCTGTTTAGTTTTTTCTATAAGACACCTTTTTCATTTTCGCCAATAACATTATTGATTTAGATGTTTGAGTGTGTTGGCTCTCTCCCCGTATTGGTTTCTAGTGGGTAGAGACCAGTGCTGCTGCTAACCACGTTCTAATGCATAAGACAGTCCCACAGCCGAGAACTATTGACTAAAATGTCAGTATTACCAAGAATCTTCGCAAACCACTTTTGACACGTTCGATCAGTCATGGCACCTCCTCCACACACTGCACAAATCTTTTTCTGCGTTTCAGTTGCATTTTTACCTTTCTTGAAATAATAAAGCATAATACACCAAAAATGTTGATATTTTCCTCCATCTTCAATATTAAAATGGCTGCACAGAAGTTCACCAATTCTGACAACTTTTTTAAATGCACGCTGCTATGACAGCTGTCACAATACGGTCTAACAGAATTGTTTCGAACGAAGTTAAAGACAACTCAGCACCACTAGAGCCGTCACATCGAAAAGCTAAATATACTTTTTGGCCAAACTGATTCCTCTAAAATGGGTGATGGCACATGCAGACAGTGAGGCTGATGAAAAAAGAGAAATTCATGTGGTGATTTATGAGCCCAGGAAATAAAATCCTAGAGAAAGATTTTCAGGATCTCTTTTACTTATATTTTGCTTTTTTTTCTTTTGCTGTCCTTTCTCTTTATCTCCTAAATTTTCTGTTTTTTTTTTAACATCATTGTTATCAGTCCTTAATAGAGATATTTCTTGATGAACGATTATTCCTTAGTATCTGGTTTTTAAATCTGGTGACATACTCTCAAGAACTTACTAAAAATGTGAACTAAAGTGGCTTTAACCACTGCAGATACCGAGAGGCGATTCAGAAGTGGGACGAAGCTCTGCAGTTAACCCCGAACGACGCTACGCTGCATGAGATGAAGTCGCAGGTAAGGGAAAGGGTTTCACTCGGTCATGCAGCTGCATGGTGTTTGGTGAGCGGCGATGGACCAAAATAGCGTTTTGTTCCATTTTCTTTATTAAATACAAATTATTTGGGGAAAATGTTATGATATCATTCATGGCTTTCCCTTACGTAATCAGATTTAGAGATTTGTTTACCTTCACAATGAAGTTGACTGTACTCAACCTGACGTGGTAAGGTGTGAGCAGGTGGACGTCCTTTAAGAAGTCACTGCTGGTCTCCTAAAAGAGTGAAGTGGGTTTGCCGTCCTCGGAGACGGATCGTAGGGGACTTAGCAGTGACGGCACTGCTTCCGGTGGATAGGACTCTAGATGATGGCGTTTCTCTGAAAGTGGCCCAGTTCTTAGCAAAAGGTCTGAATAGACTGAGTTTATCAATAGTTTAAAAATAGCACCTGTATTTAAAAATACATTTCTGGTATTTTGTGGGAAAGCCCTCAAACAAAACCTCTGAGGGTTTGGACTAAGTTGCCCCGGGGGCTCCGGTCCCAGCGTGTTGACTGAGTTTCTGGCCCGGAGCAGATGCAGTGGTGCCGGCTTCCACCGCCGGGCAGACTTCTGTCTGGACAATGCTCTCAGACTAGGGTGCCCTCCTGTCGCCTTGATTTTAGTTTATCCCGGAAAAACCCAAGTGAATTTATGTCTGCTGAATGAAAGTGGTATGAGCACCTTCATTTAGGTATTTTCAGCCTTTAATAGGTACATATTAAAGGCAAGACTTGTGGTGAATTGTATGAAATGAGTGATTTAATTTGGAACCTGATAATGGTGTGGGTGTGTCAGAAATGTTGTGAAATACGTATGGTCCCCAAATTATAGATGAAATCGGCCCTTTGCCGTAGACCGAAGGTGAAGGGTGCTGGGACTCCCTACTTTTTCCAGGGCGTGTGGTGGGAAGAACCAGTTGTGGGAGGGCCTGTGGAGCGTTTGAGTGATTTTTATAGCAGGAGGTTGTGCCCTAGGGACAGGAGGTGTGGTTGAGCAAATTCACATTTACCTAGTTTGACGGCAGGACCTGGGGCACCCTGAGTCCCCGTTACAAGTAGAGTAAATAGAAGTGGACCTGAGAGGCCAGACAGCTCTGAGCTGCCGTGGCCAGGGGTGGCCACGTGGTTTCGGCCAGGCGGACAGTGGGGTTCAGAACTTGGAAAGGGAATGGTTCGTATTTTTATAGTGTTGACGTTTTAGGGTCAGGAAGAAGAATATAATTCCTGACCCTGGGCAGCTGCGGTGGGGGTCAGAACCACTGAGATGCTATGTTTACCAGACTAAAAATACACTTTTAGAAATGAAAAGGGTTGTTTATGTGTGGTTGTCTATTGGGAGTTTGCTGGTCCTGGGGAATTCCTGACAGTTCTGTTTCTGTTTTCGGCCGTAGGTCCTCATGTCGCTTCATGAAATGTTCCCTGCAGTTCACGCAGCGGAAATGGCTGTGCAGAGGAACCCGCGTTCCTGGGAGTCTTGGCAGACTTTGGGGCGTGCGCAGCTGGGATTAGGGGAGATAGTCTTGGTAAGGAAGGCACATGACTGTAATGCTGGCATTTTATTTTGACAGGTTTGGATAAAAAAGGTAAACATTTATCAAATCTATGCAAAAAATAAATAGCAAATTACCTCTTAAAGGGTAAACCACAAGCACAGATCAGTTATTACTATTTTTCCATCATATCCACCAATTATATCAGGGTCAGAATATTTTTCAGGTACTTGGAATCATGGAAATTAATAAAAAATTTAACACAAAGTATTGGCATTTGGTAAACCTCATTTAAATCTAAAATAAGTAACTTCGGGGGTAATGCTTTTCGTCATTAAGTTGAGCACATTACGCAGCGGTGTGAGCGCTTCACCACTTCACCAGGGGGCGAAGGCACTGGAAGGGAGTGTCCTGGGGAAGGAAGGGGTAGAGTGCGGGAGTGTGACGGTGACAAATGTCTGGCCTGAGAAGTTGCTAGGCTTCACGAGGGGAAGCGTAGAAGCTTATAAAAGTGAAAAACTCATTGTGTTATGTTTGCTATAAACTGGCACTTAATGGATCTGTCAGCTTGTCTGCACGGTGCCTTGTAGGCCGCAGAGGTCACGTAGGTGAGTGTTCGCTGTGAGTGCCGCTGCCCTGGTTCGTTTCTGTGGGGCTTGTGCGTTCCTGACAGCTGATACCCCAAAGTACGTGTAAATCTCACATAGCGGTGCCAGACGTCCTTTCTGTCATTAAATAAATAAGTATTTTTCATGCTTTTATAGGCCTTAGTGGTTAAAAGTGAAACAAAACCAAGTTTCTTTAAAGGCTAAAATTACTGGTAAACCCTGAATTTAACTTTGCCAGCACTGGCCCCAGTGAGTTGTGGGTAACTCAGGTTTTTCTGGTGCACTTGCAAGTATATTATTTCTGTTTATGAAATGAATGTGAGTGAAGTACTCAGAAATCATATGTAGGGGGTTTTGATGAGAGGAGAATTGTTTGGAATACAGTAACTTAAAAATGACAGTGTGAAGTGAAATTCACAGCAACGGAAACCGGTTGAGCCAAAGGCCATTGCCTTTCTTCCCTGTTGAACACAGTCATCCTTCTCTCCCGAAGACTTAAATCCAACTAGAGTTGGGAAAAAGCTCAAGGAATTTGGTTTTCTAATAGGTAAAAGAACCAAGTAGAAACTTACATAATACTTTTTCTATTTTTCCTTTATTCAAGACTTACAAATCATTGTGCTGTTGCGTATAAGTGCCTATGGTAATGGAAAAATTCTCTAGGACAGAATGTTTAGCAAAATATTGTCCTATAAACAAAGTATATTGTACACGAGATAATGGGTCAGAATTCTAAGTTTTGAAAATCAGAGTGGTTTGTTCAGTGTTTTTCCTATTGATGTAGTTATATCCATTGTACTTGTATTGTGCAATTCTTGGAGGAATTAAATGTGTTATTTCATCCTCATTTAATGTTTTTTAGGGTTCTACTTGAAAAAAATCTAAATTTGTAATTTTTGTGTAAAAATCTGTTTTTTAAAAAAATGTATTGCTTTGAGAGAGAAAGGTGATGGGGGAGAGAGTGACACATTGATTCATTGTTCCCCTTATTTGTGCCCTCACTGGTTAATTCTTGTATGTGCCCTGACAAGAATCGAACCCACAGCCTTAGTGTATTGGGATGGTGCTCTAACCAACAGAGCTACTTGGCCAGGGCTAAACTTAATGTTATTTTGAAAGACTGGAATGGTTAAAAATTACTTTACTCAATGTCATAATGAAGTGATACAGTCAAATCTCAGTTCTTGAACCTCTCTCATCTTGAACAGTTTGGTTCTTGACCAAATTATACATGGAAAAAAGTGTCTCTGATTGTTGAACAAAACTTTGGTTCTTGACTGTACCACCCTCTTGTGCTGACCCATGTGACAGTCATGCATCCCCCAAGGTGTGATGGAGGCTTTGAACAAATCGCTTCCGGAACAAATTAAGTTCGAGAACTGAGCTTCTACTGTACTGTGAAAAATATATTGAAAGCAAGCTAAACTTTGTCATGTATAATAATTCTTAATACAGGGGTGGGCAAAAGTAGATCTGCAGTTTGTACAAGAAATAATATAGTAATTAATAAATAATAATATAAAAATAAACTGTATTTTGTGTACTCAGACTGTAAACCTACTTTTGCCCTACCCTGTGTATAAAAACATAACAAAATACATAGTTAAATAAAGAGGTAATAAATTAAAAGTCAAGAGTTGGGTATGTCTCTGAGTTATTATTTAGATTTTTATGCAGAATTGGTTGTGTACATTGGAAAATGATTCTAGGCCTTGTCTGGCCTTCATTTTCTAATTCTTTGAGTCATAGAGGTGGGCTTCTTTACTTGAGGTTTTTCTTTGTAACATCGGCCTTTATAGAAGCTCTGCTCTTAGTTCTGCTTTTGCAGCATCCCGTACTTTTAGTGTATTTTCATTCTCATTTGTGTCGAGATACTTTCTAATTTCTCAAAGAAATTTGATTTCTTTTTGAACTTGTTGTTCAAGAGTACATTGATTTCTACATATCGTGGATTTTATCCTTTTGCTATGATTTGTAGTTGTATTCCATTAGAGTCAGAAAAGGTGGTTAGATTGTTAGTATATCTTTTTAAACTTGGGCGGGGTTTTTTTTGCAGTGTGAACTTTCTTTCTTTATTTAAAAATGTGTCGTTATTTATGCTGTCACGGTTGTCCCAAAGACTTGTTTTGTGACACAACATGCGCTGTACACGGGAAGATGCTCCCCGTGTACTTGGGAGGATTGTGTTCTGCTGCTGCCGGTGGGGCGTTGTGCAGAGGTCTGTGGCGGGTCCCTGTACAGAGGTCTGTGGCGGGTCCCTGTGCTCTGCAGTACTGGGCAGCCGTCCGGATCCCTATTGGTCTTCCGTCCTGCGGTTCTGTCAGTGTTCACTTTCTGCGCTTAGGTGTTCTGATGCTGGGTGTGCATATACTTACAGTCATTACGTAATTCTGGGGAATTGACCCTTGTGCCATGTGCAGTGTCTGTCCTTGTCTCCCGTGACACTTGGCTTCAAAGTTGTGCTCTCCTGGTGCCTTCCTGGTGACCGTGGTTTAGCCCAGGAGAGTCCCTAGATTCATGGGTTCGCCGATCTGCAGAAGCTGAGCAACGCATTTGCCTTATTCCACACCGTAATATTTCTATTTCAATGCACTTTTAGTCCTCATCAGCAATTTGTCGGTCACTTTCTTTCACACTTTTATAACCTTTGTTTTTTTCATCATAATCATCATTAGTGGTTAGAACACAGCCCTAACTTCCATCCTTATAGCCTATTATGTTAAAAAATATGTATATCTTGTTGGTATGTACATATACACATACATATGTGTGGATATTGTGGATTATGTTAAATACATTTAAAAACCAAAAGCAAAGAAATAAAAAACACCTGGCCTTTTCTTTCCCTAGGCCATTCGAAGTTTTCAAGTGGCCCTTCACATCTACCCAATGAACCCTGAAATCTGGAAGGAAGACCTCTCTTGGGCAAGGACGCTCCACGAGCAGCAGAAGGCAGCCCAGAGGATTAAAGAAAGTGCAGCACCAGCGGAAGCAACACACGTCTCACCAAAGTCAATTCCTGACTATGACTTTGAGAGCGATGAGATTGTTGCTGTTTGTGCAGCCATTGCTGAAAAACAAAAGCCAGTGACAGCAAACAAAACCATGGTTATCGTGTCGGCTTCTGGGGCAGTGGAGACGGTAACCGAGCAGGAGGACAGCGCCGCTCCGCCCGATGGCTCTGTGTTCATCAAAGCCCGATGAGGCTTAGCAGGACTTGTTCGAATCTGCCTTTCTGGCTTAAATCTGCCCACAGGCATTTCCTCTGGAGAAACTGGGCAAAACTGCGGTTTGTAAAATCAGTTTTTCACGTGAGGCATATAAAAACTAACGGGTAGAATGACTATATAGTGTTTGGACTATGCTTTGATAAGTTATGGTTTAAACTTAATAAGACTAGAATTCTGACTACAGTAGTTTTGATTAATAAACTTAATCCAAATATATAAGTGAATGCATTTTAAAGACACAACTTGGAAATCAATGCTTGACTGGTGACCAACTTGATGGCCAGTGTTATTAAAATGTTGACTTGTTTTTTTATAAAAGGAAGTCAGTGATTTGTTTCCCTCCTAAAAATATACTGCTGTTACTATTCAATGTTCTGTTTTTTGGTTTCATTAGAGTAACTTTGTCATAAAACTTGAATGTTTCTGATGTTCTTTTGGATTCAAGGTTTTCATTTGGTTATATGCAGATTCTTTGAAAGTTCATCTGGAAATGCATGCAAATGTGTACATTCTGAACATTTTCTGCAGCTTCTCTTAATTCTAATTTATGCTTGTTTTGACTTTACTTCAAAATAATTGTAATTACGGTAGTTGCCACCTTCAGTATTTGTTGGATGTAGGAAGTACTGATAAATGTGAGAATGATGTGTGTTTTTTTTGTAAACAATGGTAGATAGTCTTTACCACAAGCGATTCATTTTTTAAAAAATATGTTTCATTGATTATGCTATTACAGTCGTCCCAATTTTTTCCCCCTTTGACTCCTTCCACCTAGTATCCTCACTCCTTAGTTCATGTCCATGGGTCATGCATGTAAGTTCTTTGGCTTCTCCATTTCTTATTCTGTTCTTAACATCCCCCTATTTTGTAACTTCCAATTTGTGCTTCTTAATCCCTGTATCTTTCCCTCTATTTTCCCTCTTCCCCCCTCCCAACTGATAACCCTCCAAATGATCTCTTGATTTATAATTCTGTTTCTGTTGTGCTTGTTTGCCTAGTTTATTATTTGGATTCAATTATTGATAGTTGTGAATTTATTGCCATTTTAATGTTCATCATTTTGATCTTATTTTTCTTGTATAATATTCCCTTTAGCATTTTATGTAATAATGGCTTGATGATGAAGAACTCCCTTGGCTTTACCTTATCTGGGAAACACTTTATCTGCCCTTCCATTCTAAAGAATAGCTTTGCTGGATAGAGTAATCTAGGTTGTAGATCCCTGCTTTTATCACTTTGAATACTTCTTGTGAATGCCATCGCTTTGAATGCCAGTCTTTTCTAGTCTTAGAGGAGCTGACAGTCTTATGGGAGCTCCTTTGTAGGTAATAGTCTGCTTTTCTCTTGCTGCTTTTAAGATTCTTTCTTTATCTTTAACCAGTGACATTTTAATGATGATGTGTCTTGGTATGGTCCTCTTTGGGTCCAACTTGTTTTGGACTCTCTGTACTTCCTGAACTTGTATGTTCCTTCACCAAATTAGGGAGGTTTTTTTTTTTTTTCAGATAAGCTTTCAATTTCTTGTTCTGCCTCTTCTTCTTCTGGCACCCCTATGATTCAGATGTTGGTACATTTAAAGGTGTTCCAGAGGTTCCAATCCTATCTTTGTTTATATGAATTCTTTTTTCTTCCTGCTGTTCTGGTTGAATGCTTTTTCCTTCCTTGTGTTCCAAGTTGTTGATTTGATTCTCAGCTTCATCCTCTCTACTGTTGGTTCCCTGTAGATTTTTCTTTATTATACTTAATGCAACCTTCATTTCTGCCTGGGTCTTTTTTATGGCATTGAAGTATCCAGTGAGTTCCTGGAGCATCCTGATAACCAGTATTTTGAACTGTGCATCTGGTAGGTTGCTTATCTCCATTTATTTAGATCTTTTTCTGGAGTTTTGTTCTGTTCTTTTATTTGGGTTATATTGCTTTGTCTCCTCATTTTGGAAGCCTCCCTGTGTTTGTTTCTGTGTATTAGGTAGAGCTGCTTTGACTCCATGTCTTAACACACCTGTTAAGTTGTGTGGGGTGGAGCCTTGGGTCATCACTAGGTGAGGGGAACATGTGTCACCTCTCTGTTGCTCTGTGTGGGGGGAGGGCCTGCAGAGGGGACAGTGCATTGTCTGGCCTCCGGAGTTTTGTCTGGGAGGAAGCTGTCTCCCCACTCACACTTCCCTTCCTCCCCCCATATGCCACTGGTACCCTTTTAGCTATTGCCTTTGTCCTGAATCCCAGAAGGGTGGGTCTGTGTGAGTCTGAAGTTTGTCGTGGGCCCTTTAAGAGGACGGAGTTTCTTCTGCCCACACTGCACACCCCCACTGGTTTTCATAGCCAGAAGTTATAGGGACTTATCTTCCTGACAGTGGGACCCTGGGCTGGGTGGTCTGGACTGGGGCTGGGATCCCTCACTCCTGAGGTATCCTTATTTTTTTATCCACCACACATGGATGTGATACCACCCTTCCTGTCTCCACGCCTCTCTGCACCTCTCAGGGTCTCTGCCCCTGCCACCATCTGGATGAATGTGGCTTCTTTAAATCCTTGGTTGTCCACAACCAAGGCTTTAAATCCTTGAAATCCGCAACCAGGTTTTCTGACAGTTCTGGGTGATAATTATTTTGTAGTGTAGCTGTATTTTTTGCTGTAGTTGTTCATAGAGGTAAGGGGTGTTTACCTTTGCCTCCATCTTGATCAGAAGTTGCAAGTCATTTTTTAGATGTACATTTTTCAAAAGGAGTGGCTCTTGTAGCTACATCATAAATTGTACTGCAACATTGCCCTGGTCACAAGCAGTATTTTCTTTATTTTTAAAAGCTTAAAGCCCTGATCGGTGTGGCTTTTGGGTTGGGGCATTATCCTGCAAACCAAAAGATCGCTTGTTCAGTCAGGGCACACGCCTGGGTTGCAGGCTCGGTGTCCAGTTAAGGGTGCTCAAGAGACAACAGATCCATGTTTCTCTTGTACACCAATGTTTTTCTCTCTGTCTTTTCTCCCTTCTCCTCTCTCTAAAAATAAATAAATACTTTTTTTAAAAAAAAAAAAACTTAAAAGCCTTGAAAACAGCTTATCATTTGCTTACAACTTTTCAGTTGATGGTTTGGGATTCCTTTTGTAGATAACTTGTTTGGAACTAGTCAGTAAAATGAGAAATAATCATAATTTAAAATAACTAAATTATATCTTTCTAAAAAAAGTAGGGATGCGACTGTTAGAGTTCCAGTGAGTGACTGATGTAGGCACAGCACACGTGGAAACTAACATGTGATTTGTGGTGCGATCCCATGAATAGCGAAGGGTGTACTGAAGAAATAGTTCATTGAAACATCACAGTGCTGTGCACAAGTCAGTGTTGCCCTTGCGGATGTGAATCACTATTTTTGTAGTACATACGTTGCAGTGCAGTTATATAGAAACTGTTGGGAACTGTTACTTCTGACACTCAGGGAGCTACTATTGATACACAGTTAACTTTGTTAGAGATGAAAGTGTGTAACTTTATTTTAAGAAATCTCATGCTGTTGGAGCATGTAAGTAATGGTTTATATTTTTCTGAGATGATTTGTGAAACTTTTCTTTCAGTGGAATGTTTACCTCTTTTTTCAGAGTCAGAGAAGTCAGCACTTGGCCTTGAAAAGTGTTACATTTTCCCCAAAGTTATATTAGAAAATTAGCTCTGGTTGGAGAGGTTAGTTTTAGAATGATCCAAGGAAAAAACCAAATAATAATTCTATTTTATTTTGTTTAATAAGAAATATTCTCAAAGGGTAGATAGTTGGATAGCTAGAGAAGTTGGTGTATTGTTTTGAGTGATGGGTATTTGTTTATTGTGTAATTTGTGAATAGTTTTTTTTATGTATTTAATGTTTTGCCTATTTTGTGTTATGAGCTTTTGAAAGTTAGATCAATTTCTTATGTGAAATAAAACATGTAAAACACTTTGTATAGTATCTCACATGTGAATTACTCAGTAAATGCTAGCTTTTTCTGTGAAGAGCTTGAATCAGTTTGGAGATAGTGAATAATTTGGAAATATATTCTTCCGATTTTAAGAAAGGAAGAGAATTTCTTTGTAATTTTTTCTTATCTGAAAGTGAGAAGTCACCGCTTTCGATGCTGCGGGCCAGGTGGTTCCCGTTCGGGGACTGTTCCTGACATGAGGTCTAGATTCTCAACCCCCAAAACAGCAGGACCAGGATGCAGTGCGTGCCGCCATCAGATGCAGTGTCGAGTGACGTCCGTAGGCCGGGTTTGTCCCTTCCTCACTCAGATATAAGACATAAAGTGCTTTTTACACGTAGCATGGGGGAGAAGAAGAAGTAACTAGGGAGAACAGAGGCAGCTCATTTGTCCAGGCCCCCAAAGATGCTTAGCTAACACTATTCTGTGCACGAAGAGAAAAATGCATACATTATTTTATTTATAAGGACGTTGATACGGATGTGCTGACATTGACTCAACTTACTAAAAATAGCACATTTTCTTACCTGAAAGAAAAGTAACTGATGTTCATGGTAGTAATATAATTAAATATGTTTTCTGTGCTTTCTGAAACAACGCTCAACATGAAAATCATATGGTGTAAAGTTCGTGTGTTTCTCAGTTGAAAATGGTGTGGCCTAGATGCTCCGTAGCCAGGACACCACACATCCACACCAGGCCTGATAATTTGAGGGTCGCACACTATTCTCTAGACAACAGGTTCTTAGATTATAGATCATTTATCTTAAATCTGCTAACAAATGCCACATAAACATTGAAAAGTCATGCGAGGTACAGATCACAGGGCCTGGATCTGTTGCCTCTGGGGTCTCTGCTGAGTATTTTATGGTAGAGTCTCGGGTGTAACGCTTTTACGCCGATGCTGTGTTGCCTGACCGTAATGAAGACAAAAGAGGCGTGTCTCAGAACTCTGGGGTGTCCTAGATTATAGCTGATGGGATGGCCTTTTTAGTTTGAGCGTTACATTTGATGTCACGGCATCAAAAGCTCGTTTCGTTGCCTTTTCAGGCATTTGGAAAGTGGTCGGCCATGTCTCAGTTTCAAGGTTCCTGAGACAGAGGCCCTTCTCAACTGACTTTGATGTCATGATGTGATGTACCCACGTGAGTTTTGAGTTGACATAAGAACCGTAATTGCATCATTATCTTCAAATCAATAGCTGTATTAAGTGTGTGGTTGTTTTTCCTGAGAGATTATTACACTGACGGTATATTTTGTAATTGGTGGCATTTTGGGATTAAGAAGGTAATTTTTTTCAACCAGGACTATAGAAATCTGTAAATGGTTTACTCATTACCAGAGTAAATTGAAATATGTCAGTTCAGTCACTTGCAGTGAAATATGCTCACCTGGATGGAAGGCAAGGGGTCGCCCTACAGTTAG